GTAGGGGAAAAAAATTACAAACGTCTACACTGAATTATGCAGCAGGTAGCATTAAGAACCCAAACTTTGAGTCTGTCCACTTGTGGAGTGCTCTTCTGGGATTTGCATCCTACTCTCAGAATGGTCACTCATACTGGCTGGAATGGTAGAAGTAGCAGATCCAGAACTTCATGGAGTTGGCCTAGTTTTTGTGGGCTTGCAGATCTCCCCACCCCTTCTCTCCAGGAGTCATGGGATCACAGGTAGCTGGAGCAGCAGGTCTGCTGCAGAAGAAACCTGGGATTTGTGGGCTTGTCTCTCCAGGAGTCCAAAGGGCCCCACTGTTGGCTGAAGCAGCAAGTCCAACAGCGTCAGGAAGGAAGCCCTGGTTTTAAAGGCCATCTCCCCTCCCCTCTCTGAACAGGAGAAATACATGAAATAGCAGTGGGGCTAGGCGGCTGGACCAGTGGCTCCAATTAACTTTTTTTCCCTCCTTTTAAATGCAAGAGTTTTATGTCTGATTGTTGAAGGCCATATGGCATGTTTTATAGCCAACAGTAACTTTCTTTACCTGATCCCATTTGTGGTAACAACCTTAACATTCTTTTAATGAAGTTTTTGGTGGATGCATTACCTTTCCTTTTTTTATGTAAGTAAATCAGTAGGATATGTTTAACCTGCCCACTAAAATTCAGTGTGAGCAATGAAACCCAAGGAAGCAGAGCAAAAGATCATTCATCGTCTCAAATGAAGCGAAGTGGATTAAAACTCCATTGGCAAACACCCCCCTGCCTCTGCACACTCCAAAAACACATTTGAAACCGTCGGAGCAATCAAAAATTGTCATGCATGCACAGAGGCTTTTTAATGCAATTCCTGAGTCACAATTTTTAAAAGAAAGGCAAAACCATCAGTGCACCTTAGAAACCAATGCCCTGTAAACTCCAATGGACCATTCCTTCCTTCAATTAGACACACCTTTTTCCCTCAAAAGCATCATTTTAGCCAAACATTTAATTTTTTTTGCACATTTATTACTGAAGAAGACCACCCTTTCTGCTTTTTTATTTTTTTTAAAGGCATTCCTTACTCTTGGACTGAGTACTTCTATGTCAACTTTCATTTTGCAGCAAGTTTTTACTGCCCATTTATCATCCTCCCATCCTCATGACAAGATTTATAGTGGAAAAGGATAATAAAACCTTACTGTAACGCCACAACCACACACTGTTTCTTACTTAGTTACAGATTCTATAATATTGGCCAAGCAACAACTAAGGGAAATAATTTTTTAATATAGCCACACAAGTTCTCATAACAGACTCAGACTTTACGGACAGAAGGGGCCATCATGATCATCTAGTCTGACCTGCACAGGCCACAGAACCTCACCCACTCCTGAAATAGATCCATAACCTAAGTTCCCTCTAAGCTGCGCAGCCACACAGCAGGCTATCAAGGGCCACGCAGGCGGGGAGAGGCACCTCTCCCCAAGCCCCAGGCCGCTGCAGTGAGGCGGGGGGGGGGGGGAAGTCCTCTCTCCCTATCGCAGCTCTGGGGCAGCCTGCACCCCAAGCCCCTCATCTCTGGCCCCACACCAGAACCCACACACACCCTGCCAGAGCCCTCACCACCCCAAACCCCAACCCTCTGCCCAAGACCTGAGCCCCCTCCCACACTGCAAACCCCTTGGCCCCACCCCCACCACACATCACCTCAATACTGGAGCACATGACAAAATTTATTCCACACATTGATATAAAAAAAATTAGAGGGAACATTGTCTATAACCTCTGGCTGAGTTATTGAAGTCCTCAAAGTATGGTTTAAAGATTTCATGTTACAGAGAATCCACCAAGTACACTAGTTTAAACTGTGCCCCATGCTGCAGAGGAAGGCAAAAAAAAAAAACCAGGGCCTCTAACAATCTGACATGGGGGGGAATTCCTTTCCGACCCAAAATATGGTGATCAATTAGACTGTGAGCATATGAGCACAAGATCTACCAGGCAGATACCTGGGAAAGAATTCTCTGTAGTAACTCAGAGCCCTCCCCATCCAGCAATTGAGTATTTTTGCTACTGGCAGTCACCAATAGGCCACATACCTTCGTAGGCAGTCCCATCATACCATCCCTCCATAAACTTATCAAGCTGTCTTGAAGCCATTTAGGTTTTTTGCCCCCACTGCTCCCCTTGGAAGGCTGTTCCAGAACTTCACTCCTCTGATGGTTAGAAACCTTCATCTAATTTTGAGCCTAAACTGGTTGATGCCAGTTGTTCTTGTGTGCACGCTGATGCTTCACTTAAATAACTCCTCTCCCTCCCTGGTATTTATCCTTCTAATGTATTTAGAGAGAGCAATCATATCTCCCCTCAGCCTTCTTTTGTTTAGGCTAAACAAGCCAAGCTCTAAGAGTCTCCTCTCATAAAGTAGGTTTTCCATTCCTCGGATCATCCTAGTGGCCCTTCTCAGCACCTATTCCAGCTTGAATTCATCTTTCTTAAAGACAGGAGACCAGAATTTCACACAGTATTCCAGATGAAGTCTCACAAGTGCTTTGTATAATGGTACTAACACTTCCCTGTCTCTACTGGAAATACCCCACTTAAAGTTTGACATTTAGCCACTAATGAAAGTTGTGACAGAAGACTAACTTACACCCTTATCTCGGTGTGCCTATATGTCACACACAAGCCCCAATCCTGCAACCAATTGCACATAGGCACAACTCCACAGAGACCCACTGACTTCCAAGGAACCATGTACAGGGATATGCCCATACATAATCAATTGCAGGATCAGGACTATGGTACGTAAACCCTCTTATGAGAGCACCTGATAAAGGACCACGCATAATGTAATGATTTTGAGCAGGAAAGCTAAAGGGCACTAGACTAACCTTAACTCAGAATGTCATTCATTCAGAACCACAACAGCATATTAACACAGACTGTGTGACTGATTACCCCTTTTGTTTCCCTCCTCAGTCCCCTATGATTGGGTCAGTGGTGTCTCATCATTGTCAGGGCTGTCAGCTGGGCTTCCAACTTGGTGACAAAATGTTATGAGATATAATTTGAAACTACTAAAATGTCAACCCCTCAGAAACAAGATTAACAACACAGAAGAGATCACAAAAATGCAATATTAAACTACTCGATATTCAGAGAGAGAAAAGGCTACATTTATGCCACAACAAGGTGCAGAGTTTACAGTTACAATGCAAGCCAATAAATTCAAAGATCAGATTCCCACACTGACCTTAATTTTGCCCTCTTGCATGTATGCTTTACGGTAGGGCAGTAGTTCTCAACCAGGGGTGTGTGGCCCCCTTGAGGGCCTCGAGCAGGTTTCAGGGGGGCCTCCAAGCAGGGCCAGCATTGGACTCGCTGGGGCCCAGGGCAGAAAGCCAAACCCCCACCGCAAGGGGCTGAAGCCCAGGTCCCTGAGCCCCGCCACCTGGGGCTGAGGCTGAAGCCTGAGTAATGTGGCTTCATGGAGGCCCCTGTGGCATGGGGCCCCAGGCAGTTGCCCTGCTTGCTACACCCTAACACCAGCCCTGGCTTTTATATGCAGAAAACCAGCTATTGTGGCACAGGTGGGCCGTGAAATTTTTATAGCATGTTGTGGGGATCTCAGAAAGAAAAACGTTGAGAACCCCTGCAGTAGGGCACAGTGTCAAACTGGAATGTGCTGGCCTGTTCTGAAAGAGACAGAGATCCCTCACTGCCCTAGGTAGTTTTGAACAAGAGTAAGTAGTTGGTAAAGTTGCTAATCTCTTTAGCCTCATCTAGATTAGGATGTGGTTGCCATAAATTTAACATATGTTAAAGGCCTTGTCTACACTAAACTATTAACACGTTAGCTAACACCTTCCAAATCCTAATGCAGACAGGGCTCGGTAACCTTCTCCACTGTTTTTTTGGGTGGATTACCATCATGAGAAAGTAATAAGTGCACCTACTCTTTCTGCCAACAGCTGCACCATTTCTTCAGTGCCTGTAACTAGTGCGCTCCTGAAAATACATATAGTCAAAGCAGTGAGTGGAGCATCAATCACAGGAGCTAAAGTAGTAATGACTTAGTCCACAGTTCTGCCCACAACCAACCAGGTAGTGTTGTACCCCCTCCATTTTAATAGTCACAATGAGGCCCATGACACAAATGTGAATGTGACAAGGGCAGCCGCAATCTATGCTCCTCTGGCAGCTCTAACTTCACGAGGACACCTGGGACTCCCTGCTTCGTAACCACTCACCATAACAAAATCCGAGAACCTTTACAGTTGGAGTTTTTACACTGTTGTACAGCAGTTACACAGGGGATCTTTCAGTGGTTTGGTTTCAGCTACCTCAGGAGACCACATCTCTTTCCATGCCCTGCCACGGCAGCTGAGGTCAGCTGATAATGTATCACTAACAGTCCCTAGATTCATCTAGCTAAGGAGTTGCTTTCAGTAGAGGCTCTGCAATTCTGTATTTCACTTCCCTGCACTGCAGTGATTGAGCTTTTAAAACACAATGCAAAGCTCACCTGTTTACTCTGACCTTTACTGGAAGTGTGCAGTGATGTATAGTTATAATGTAATCTATTATTTAGGGGAAAAGTGCATTTAGCTAAAGATTTGTCATACTGATTATACAGGACACAGTTCTGACACCCTTACTTCACATTATCAATGGCATTTACTCACTTGAGTAAGTGCTCCTCAGTAGCAATAAGCATTGCTGAATCAAGCCCATGTTGCATTTGTGCACAACCTCATAGACAACAGATAGG